CTTTCCCCTCCTCTTTTTATTTAACTGTAGATCAATACAGAGCAGCAGGCCAAAATCCAGGAGCTGCAGGAAAAGCTGACAAAGGTAATGTCTGGGTGGTGAAAGTGAATTTTCCACAAGATTTTCCAGTGAAACCTTAATGCAGAGGAGGGATGCACTTTGTTTTATCCTCAAAAATAGAATTAGTCATAGCATGGGGGATGATAAGGAAAAGGGGGTGGGAACTGGTATCTGAAATCATTGGTGTTCTCAATATGCTTTCGGCTTTTGAGACATGTCAACAGTGTTTATTTTTACAAATGAAGCTGAGTCAGAACTGGAGTAGTGTAGAGAAATTCTAATTTAAAAGGCCAGTTTGGGTATGTTGTATGCAATGCACTCTTCCCTTGCTCCTGAAGACAAGGTTCAGGTGGTTTTAGCTCACCAATAAAATACACGTTGGACTTGGTTTAGTCTCCCAGTATGCTATGTTTTAATTGCAAAATCATTTTCCAGTTCAGTTCTTCTCAGTAAAAATGTTGAATGATAAGGATTCACAACATAATTAAAATACCATAGCAATGTAAGCTGAAGGAAGTACGTAATTCTAACGTTTGCAGTTGTGGTCAGTCTGTCACTTAAGAAGGCGCTGTAAGAACAGTAAGGGAACTTCTCTTATTGGGATCTTTCAGCAGAAAAGAAAGGGTTTGTCATAATAATCCACTGAGAGACCTTTTCAAACTTGGCACCTGCTGAGAGGGGCCTTTTTCAAGGGTTAGTGATCCAGAATATGAATAGGAGGCCAAAACTATGTAGAAATAGTACTTCTAATATTTCAAAACAGTCATGTTTTCTCACTTTTTCTCCTTTCATTAATTCGAAGGAATTATCTGTAGGCCAACAGGTTATTTTCCTAGTGTTTTAGTAAGAGTATTTTGTGAACTCTTTCCAAGAACTTGAGATGAATTTGGGGGTAGACTTTACTTTCAGGACATAGAGACAATTAAAAACTTAAAGTACAGCAAGACAAATGTAGGTCTCCTGGATTTTCAGTTTTTCGTTAAACAAAAGAATTATGTAACAGAAGTTAGAGTTTGGGTTCCTGCACATGTTTGTAGGTTGCCTTAATTTTAGACTGCTAGGCCAAAGTTCTGTAGCAATTTTATTCAGAACGTTGACCGTCTTGACATTATGAACTTTTCACATAGTAAGTTTTTGTGTGTGTGTTTTTCTTATAACACCTCTTTTTTTTTTCTTTTTCTTTTTCCTCTCCTTTGGACTTTTAGGCTGTGAAAGCTAGCTCAGAGGCAACTGAACTTCTTCAGAATATTCGTCAAGCAAAGGAGAGAGCTGAGAAGGAGTTAGAGAAACTGCAGAATCGGGAAGATTCTAATGAAAGCATGAAGAAGAAATTGCTTGAAGCGGAGGTGAGTGGAGAACGTCTATCTAGAGTAAATTAGTTATTGAGAGTTATTGTCTCAGTTTAGAAACCCTCATCTTGGATGACTGGGAACAGCTTGTATTCCTGTAGTAACTATTAATGGGAAAGTAATGTTAGATATTAATCAATTTTTAATTAAAAAGCACATATTTCTTTGAAGAAAACTGAGAGGCTTTTTATTTTCAGTGAGGAGTAAATAAGGACATGTGGTTAGCGTAAGGGATTTGAGGAATGATGAGGATTTAAACTATAAAAGACAACCATCTATTGACTACTTCAGCTGACTTTTTCTAGAAACTACTCATTGCTTTAAGATAATGGTTAGCCTAAATGGCAGTTAATAATTGCTCTACAGGAACGGCGCCATTCTCTAGAGAATCAAGTGAAGAGATTAGAGACCGTGGAACGAAGAGAAAACCGACTTAAGGAAGATATTCAAACTAAATCTCAACAGATTCAACAGATGGCAGAAAAAATTCTGGTGAGCAAAAATGAAAATAAAATATATGGGGTAAGAGTTTGTAAGAAGAGGGTAGGAAAGGAATGGAAGACACAGAATTGCATTGAATAAGCTGGAAATTGTTGAGTAAAGGGATTTGTTTCTTGTACCAGTCATACTGGAGAAAGCTTAAGCGCTTGAATTCTAATTGCACCTTTAGTTACAAGCTCACTCCTGTACCTTTATTCTTAATACTACTTTAAAATTCTAGTTGACTCAGTGGGAGCACTTTTAAGTCACCTTAGTAATATTTAAATTAATTACCTAATGATTATTTCAGAAGTAAAACATTCTCAGGACAGGATACTGCAACAATAAAAACATTGATATCTAGCTTTTAAACTAAATTGCAAAGGAATTTAGAGGTCAGATCTACTTGAAATGCTTATATTTTGAAGCTGAGAGAAATTAGTCATCTAAACTGTTCATCTCCAAAGATAATATTTGTCAGGAGTCCATTTTCACCCACATACCTTTTCTGTTGGCAATTTCTTGTTTCTCTCCTTGTTAAACCTATTAAATCTTTAGAGTGAGTTGGTATGTCAGTCTACAGTGAACCAAGCAGAGGGTCTTTCTTGGTCTTTCCCACTTTTACTTACCTGGGACAGGAAGCATAATTTTATAGTGGAATAATTTAATTTAATTTTGTATTTCCTATGAGTTTTCTTTCTATGTTGCCAATACAACAAGGAAAAAAAGATTACTTTTTATTGGTAGCAATCCTGAGCATAGACATACCTGAGGAAGGCCAAATGGAAATGGCCTTCCAAATAACCGTATTTGGAGTCAACAGATGAACCATACTTGTTCTGGGCAATAGCTGCATGTGTAGACTTTAGCATTGGAACGCCTGAGCACTCTCAAGAAAAGGTAGAATCGGTTCTTTAGTAGTGCTAGTTCTTTCAGATTGTTTTGATAACATGAGTGCATGGTTAAGTGGGAGGCTATGGTTTTGCTGGGCACAGAGCCATCTTTATGTTTAGAAATAGTGTAAAACTTCAAATTGTTTCATAAGCCTCTTGTGTATATTTGGGGATTGTTCCTTGATTTTGATTACGTTCTCTGTGGAGGAAAAACAGGAAGGGAATGCAGAAATATAGACTAATTGTTTTACACCATAGGATATGTTTAGCTCTTCTTATAGTTTCCATGGAGTTCTGACAGAATGTTGAAGAGACACAGAAGTATTTTATAAAAAAATTCAAACAAGCGTTGAAGAACTAATCTGACAGAGTCTCCCCTAGTTTCTTGCAGCTCTGATCTGGGAGCACAGGGTAATACTTTTCTTTTTTCTCCACTTCTACTCTGTTCCCTCAAGTTGATCTCTTCAAACACTTTTGACTTTTCCTGGTATAGGACGGTAGGAAGGGAGCTGAAGATACAGAATTGCATAGAATAAGGTGGAAATTGTTGAATAAAGGCATTGGTTTCATGTACGGTTATCTAGCAGTACCTGAGAATTACCTGCTGATCTGCCTGTAGAGAATTGAATAACTAAGAAACAAGTTAGAGAAGATATTTATTACTGCTTGAAAGTAAGTACTTGCTATGATGCTAATAACAAAGTTAGTGCTACGTAAAGGATAGTAAGTGAGAACTGGAATGGTAAGAAATTACCTTTGTAAGCCCACACTGGCTGTTAAGTGCCACTGCAGAAACTGATGAAGCTTCTGCTACAATATGAGCAGTCTGATGCTGGTAGCTTTGAAGCTGCTGCTGATCTGGTTGTCTGATTCTCTGCCAGGACCTGAAATGTGTGGGCTTCTGAGGGAGGTGAGTTGTCCCTCTTGTTGCTGGGAGACATACTTCAATTGCAAAAAGCAGCAATCACCATTCCTTGCAGAAGCATTGGGTACTAGGCACTGTAGATGACCTACTTTTGGTGAACCTTCTCTTTGATTCTCCTTTCTGGAAAAAGAGGTCTATTGCAATTACTGGAGAAAAAAATGTCTTTGTACATTTTCAAGATGAGGAAGATCAGAAAACAGAATATGAAAAGAGCTAAAGTAGAAATACCAGGAAATTTTCCTGTGCTGTGCAATAATGAAGGCAGACACGAGACCTGGATGCTTCCCAAAACCTGGGCTTGCCTATGCAAGGGTCAACCCAGTGGTAGTGAATGACAGACCTGGATCTGCCTCTTGTTGTAAGGAAATTGTTGGAATGGCAAATATGATGATGAATGAGCATGAAGTTCTAAGCTCAACTCTTTGAGGTATCCTGTTGAAAGGTGATTATAGATATAACCTGAATAATATAGTCAAACAGCAGAAATAGCTAACTTCTGAGATACAGAATTATTTAAGACCTTACTGTGCATGGCTCAAACTATCTGGTATGAAGTAAAGAGATTAAAAATATTCTGGTATGTGCGACCATATATATTGCATTCTGCACTTTTCATTTTCCAAGCAATTTATAAACAATTATTCTGACCACATTTGTCTGAGGAATATAGCACAGTAAATACTATTCCCACTCTATGAATGTAGAATGAAAAGAATAGACGGCAGTGCCCCACTACTGTGGTCTTCTGTGAGAAAACAAGTGAGAGACCTTGTTAAAAATAGATCTGAACTTCCTGTGATGCCACTGCAGCTATCAAGTGTTTATAACTGCTTGTTTTCACAAAAGATCCTTGGCCCATCTTTGGGAATATTTTACTGGGAAATGGAGATTCTTATTGTGGCAGTAGAAATCTTTGTCTTTAACAGTATATGTGCTCTACAGTAGATGGGTCAGCAGCAATATGCAAAACTTAAAACTGATAATGTGCAGCACTCATAATGTTTTTTTACTATGACAGCCCTGGTCTTGGGATTTTTATAGTGTGAAGCCTTAAAAAAGACAATGAATGAATGTTTGATACCTATGTAACACATACACACAGCACCTACTTTTTCTTTGTGTCTGAATATGAATCTCTGCTGTTTTTAGGAGCTGGAAGAAAAGCATCGTGAGGCTCAGATTGCAGCACAACATCTGGAGTTGCAGCTGAAACAGAAGGAACAATTCTATGAGGAAAAACTCAAAGTAAAATTATCTTCTTATGATCTTCCTACAAGCTTTTGTGGGTAGAATGAGTCCAGGGAAAAACAATTGCCTTTCGGCTCTGATTGCTTTGTCTTACGAGTTGCCTTCTTGCTACCGAAAAGTTCAGAGAGCTTAGTGGAATTTGACTAAGTTTTTCTTATAGTCTGTGCTATTGTACCTTATCTGTCTTTAACACTGCATTAAAACAGATGGCATTTGAAGTCAGTTCTATAGGAAGGCAGTTGTTGATTGTAATTTGACTATTGCTGACTAATACTTAATGTTATTGGATCTCACATCCTGAAAAAGATTTCAGTTCCTACTGATGATTTTCTAAGAGTATTCACACAGCTCATCTGTAAGTTTTCAATTCAGCAAATACTGAAGTATTTCTGAAATTCCATCTTCTTGGAGCTGTAACATCTGCCAAAAAGCCACAGAAACAACCCACTTTGTTTTTGTCTTTTCCAGGGTAACATAAGACAATCGAAACATAACACAATCTAAAATTAGGAAAAACAAGCTGGGAAATGTGCACTGGCTAAGGATTTTTCTAAAGAAGCTGCAGTACATCAGCCAGTAAATGCATTTTTAAGAATCTTGTTTCTACTAAGCATAATCTGTTTAGAGCAATCTCTATCTACTATGTTTACCCAGGACTCTAATTCTACATTAGAACTTAAATGTAAGAGGATGTAATATTTAAGAGGAGAGAAGGAATTTCTATGAGAGAAACATGAAACAAAAAAAGAGATGTAAGAAGGTTTCCTGGCAGACCAGAGCATGTGGTAATCAGTAATGAGAGGAGAGTGATAGAAAGCAGGAAGACCAGAGGTAGATGCTGAGAAAGGAGATGTGGTGACATTAAAAGAAAAAGAGAGCCAGTGTATTATGGGGACATATGATATAGGGTTTATTAGGAGGAATCAGGAAGCCAGGTGAAAGTGATTCAGGGTTGAAAGAGGACATGGGATGTTTGTAACTGGAACAGTAAAAGATATCCTGTGGTCTTCAGACTTTGTGCCTTTAAAAACTTGCCTTTGAAGGAAATGACCTTCAGTTTAACAACTGATTTAAAGCTCTGGACATACATACATAACATGCATTTTAAAAAAAAAGTAAGTTAGTTCTGTTCTTAATGACAGGTATTGCCACAAAAAGAAGTCTTTTACTTAGCTGTTTCATTTGGTGTCTCTGACTTGAAGAATTCATGGGTTCTTAGTTGCCTTCCCATGCATACTTACAGAACTTACAATTACTTCTGAGCTATATTGATAGGACACCCAATGGATTTGCACTTGCTTACTTCTCTACTATACATGTTTGGGTATAGAGCTTTCTGTTTTCTGTTGCATGTAGTATGGACTATTTCTTGAACACAGTTTATATGACTTAAAATAATAATTTTTTAAAAATCTACATTATCTCCATGTCTTCATGAAATTCCATCATTAAATTCAGTCTTCAGAGATAACTGAGGACTTAACTGAGGAGCTCTTTTTTTGGAGTTTGCTCCATTGCATGGTTTTCGTGCAATTGCATCTTGGGTTTAATTTTGCTTGAGAGATGATCAGTTGCTTAAAAAAACTTTCTGTCTTTCATGATGATTTTCTTTCTGCTTGCCCTTTGCCCAGTGAAACAGATATAATTTAGACAAAAGAAATGTCTTCATTTAGGTGTTGGAAAATCAGATGAAGAAAGATCTTGCAGATAAGGAAGCACTTGAGAATATGCTCAGAAGACACGAAGAAGAAGCACGTGAGAAATGTAAAGTCCTGGCTGAACAGAAGGCGGTACGTATAGTTAATTGGAAATCAAAGGATTTTAAGAGTAGCTTTCTGAGACTGATTTCAAGCAAGATAATCTTGTTTGAGGTTTTGTAGTGCTGCTGAGCTGTTTTGAAGGAAATCCACTGATTAATACTAATTTTAAAAGACATGTTTTTTTAATTCAAGGTATCTTCAAGAATATTTCCTTAAAAGTAGCCATGTAGCTTGCTGTGTACCCATTATTTTTTGCATTGATAATAATATGGTTGCTTTCTCCTAATATTAAATCAGTATACAGTAGTTGTAAATAGCCCCAGCAGTTGAATCTGTGATGCTCTTTTTGATCAGTTTTGTTTTACTTCTTTTTGTTTCTGTAAAAGTTCAGGCTTTTTTTAAACACTGTTTTTATAATCACTACTATTGTGCAGTCTCAAAGGCACATTGCTCTGTTTCAGATGATCAATGCAATGGATTCGAAGATTAGGTCACTGGAGCAGAGAATAGTGGAATTGTCTGAGGCCAATAAACTGGCAGCAAATAGCAGCCTTTTTACCCAGAGGAACATGTAAGTATAACAACTGCTATCATATTGGTCACTACTGAACAGTTCTCAGTAAGATCTCTTCTCTTTATGTAAAAGTGGTTCTGTCTTGCAGGCCTGCTGTGCTCCCTGCTTGTTTTTTCAGTGATGCAAAAATACGCTTGTTCTTCAAATAGTTGTGGTTCACTGTGTATTTTGTGTTTCCTCAAACATGACTAGGAAAATTGGTTTGTATTACAATGTTTACTTTGGAGCCTTTCCTAAGGCTGGTGCTTTGTGCAGGTTTACCAAACATGTTAAATGAATACTAATAATTTTAATGTCTAAAATACCTCTGGAGAAGCATGTATTCCTTTTTTGAACGTACATATTGCTAATAGATTTATATTTTCCTTGATTCCTGTGACAGTTGTGTGCTGTTGAAATGTAAAACATTAAACACCTTTCTTTCACAAACATTGCATCCTGCCTTGATGGGTGAGAAGACAAGTAAGAAAACTAGAATTTTAAGCCAAAAGTTTTTCTGCATGTCTTTGAATTGCCGGTTGCAAGAGTTAGATATTTTTGTTACTGAAACAGGAAGAAGTAATGTGAAGTTAGGAGATGCTTCAGCTTCAGAATGCTGCTTCAATTCATTTTGTTTTCTTCCTAACCCAGGTAGCACTTGCATATATTTCTATTGCCTTCTTGGCTTCAGCCTCTCTTTAGTTCTCATCAATGACCGGTGTAGTAGTCAGTTCAGTGGTTTTGGGGTATACTACTGGTCAAGATTTAATGAATCGCTGTGTAATCAGCAATTGTTCTTGTGGTAAATTCTTATTTATTAAACACAGAAAATCTTCTGTGTCAGATCTTTTTGTCTGCCTGAACTTCCACTTTCAATTCTAACTGAGATTCCTTGTCCTTATAATGATGTTTTTCTGTCATAAATGGCTTATAGGAATTCTGCTTCAAGTTTAGGACAAAGCGTGGATTGTTTGATGCATCCTGGAAGGTAGGGCTAAAGTAGTATATGCTCTTACTGAGTTAAGAGATTCATCAACTTTGGCTATCTGCTGAAAAGTTTTCAGTGTTCATCAACTGCTGGATGCGATGTCTGGTAGTGTCTCTGTGGGAAGTGCTTGGATAGATTCACCTGTAATATTGTATAGGATCAAGCAAGGATGAATTTTAGCAGAGTTGGCTTTTTTTTCCTTTTCAGCGGTGATTATGCCTCCAGCTACACAATGGGTCCAATTTTTGTTCTATTTCAAATATCTGGCAAGTTATTTTAGCCTGAGCAGCCAAAAATATTCACAGAAATAACTGAGAGATTTAATTGTGTTGCTTTATGCTCTAGACAACCTCCAGTTAATCACTCAGGAAGTTTGCTGAGGCAGCAAAAGCCATAACTTACCTGCACTCTGAAATAAAAGAGAAGTATTGTCTCAGCGTGTGCCTGGGCAGCACATGTGAGGTCTAGGGTCACAGTCATTGGTGCTGAACTGAGTGTAAGAACTTAGCTGTGCTATATGCATCCTCTGAGAGCAGGACACTAGACTGGAGATCCGTAGAAAACGAGAAAAAAATATAATAAAGTTTTAACATACGACTTAGAATAGATTATTGAGAGACATTGTCAAGTCATGTCATTTTGCAGGACTGGTAGAAGATGGTACAGAATTAACATTTGAAGAGAAAATTGCTTTATTATGCATGCAGGCAGCTAATGAATTTGTGCTTATTTTGGGAATCGTGATGGAGAAAATGTATAAATCTGTTGTTGGACTGTATTTTGAATCCACAAAAGCTACAGCTAATCTGAGCATGTTTAAAGAGGAGAACTTGTGATTAAACCCTTCAGAGGAGAAGGGAACACTGCTAGCTTTTGTTCCATCAAAACATCAGGAACTAATGATTATCAGGTTCCTGAGAAGATAGTCCAGTAAACAGTAGGAAGTGCAATAACACCATTTGACAGTTCTGGCTGGCAATAATCTGTAGAGGTAGGTTAAAAAAAGAGAAAGGGTGAAAGGGTGGTTTTGTGTGCAATGCACAGAAATGTGAGTCAGAACACTTAAGTTCTATTTTTAGTTTTGCAAAGTTTTCCTATTTGATCTTGAGTAACCCACAGAATTTCTCTGGGATAGTATTAATAACAGTTTATCTCACAGTGAACTTCCTAAAATATTAATTCATTAATATACGTAGAGCTTTGTGAGACTTCAAAGTAGAAAGCATGCTACAAGGCAGAATCTTCCAATGCATGATAAAATTATTCCAAAAATTGTAAATAATGTAATTTTGTCATTATTTTTCTTTTTTTCTCTCTTTTTTATGAGGGTATCAATTTCAAATTATTATGGTGATAATTAATGGTTGCCAGCTCTTAAGATTCTTATGAGCACAAGTAATTATTTTTGTTCACTTTGTAGATTAAGACTTTGATCGGAGACAACAAAGCTTCACTTCAATGTAGGCCAAGCTCTAGGTCCATTACAGCTTAAAAAAAACCCCAAACAACAAAACAACCCACAATACTCTACCCCCCCAACCCTGAACCATAGGGATTCTCTTATCTCATGGAAATATATTGTGTGAAAGCAACTTTTCTTAGCATTTATTTTTCCTGTATAGAAAAACATGTAACAAGGAATTGGTGAAATGAGAAGAATGAACTGAATTAACTTAAATATTTTAGATTACTGTGTACAGGATTAATTTTTCTGTGCAACTTGCAAACATGGAATTTTAATGCTCTGAGCATGTGTTGATGAATATAATAGTACATGGATCTTTCACAGATGGGAATAGAAAGTTGACTTTTTTTTTTAAGTTGGGATGTAGAATTTAAGCTATGAACTTAACTATTCTGCTTAACAGGAAACTTGTAGTATATTCTTCCTTACTTCACCCCAGTGAAAGGACATATGTTAAGTACATTTTGGGTTTGTCACTTGTGCTTTTCTTCTATCAGGAAAGCCCAGGAGGAGATGATTTCAGAGCTCAGGCAACAGAAGTTCTACTTGGAAACACAAGCTGGAAAGTTAGAGGCACAGAATCGAAAATTAGAAGAACAATTGGAAAAGATGAGTCACCAAGATCACACTGACAAGAACCGCCTGCTGGAATTAGAGACGAGGCTGCGAGAGGTGAAAACTTGGGTTTAATCCCTCCAAACAAACTTACTTGGATGTGTACCCCATTTTGAGTAGTGTAGTGAGAACTAGAATTAAGTTGTTTCAGTTCTGGTGTCATTAAAAAAAATGGTATTTTAAGATGTATTAATTTAGTCTAGCAGTACTTTTTTTCCCCTAGGAGTAAAATAAAAATAATAATAATAAAGAAAAATTAAAATTGCTCATTAGAAGGAGATAAGAGTAAGTATTAAAGATTTGTCATTCTTAGACCTAACTGAATCTGAGATTTTAGATCATCTTACTTTCTCAGAATCACATTTATGGTTTTTTTGTACAATACCCTTATAATGTTGCCCAGCTAGAATGGTTATGGGGTAGAGAATAAAAGCTTAGCTATGGACAATGACCAGCTTAACCATAGCCTTAGAGTCTACAGATTAGAAAGCAAAGGACACAACAGAATGAGACCTGCTGCTTCATGCACATTTTTCAGAAGTTTTCTGGAAAGGAAACCTAATAGTAATATGAAAATATGCGTTTTTAAAGATTTGTGAGCTGTGCTTCGTTTTTAGTTTTGTATCAACTAGTTTGGATCCACTTCAAATCTTCTTTTACCTTCTCCAGTCTCACTCCACTAATTTTCAGCTAAGACTGAAATCTTGCCTTTAGCTAAGAGGGTTGGACGACCAACACATGTCCTTGTTTGACCGGAAGTTGGTTGGGACCAGTGTAAGATTTCTGGCAGGCTTGTCGCGCATCTACAGCACAACAGACAGATTCACTTGGGATAGCAGACAGCCTGAAGAAGGTGCTAAGGTTTGGAATTGATTTTGAGCACTGAGATCTGTTCTGCTGCTTGTTCATTTCTTATCCATTTCTGGAAATGACATGTTTATCCCTGAGTATGCCTCAAGAAAACCTTCAACCGAAGCCATTCAAATAAACCCTGAGCCAGATGATCTGGTTCTTTAAAAAGAATCTGAAGGGAAAATGAAATATGAAAGGCAATTGCAAAATGTATGTAATATTTACATACATGTAAAGATTAGTATTGATGTTTATGCCTAAAAGTTCTCAAATAAAGATTTTAAAGATTCTCAATTTCAGTGAAGAGAGTCCATCACAAATGACTTCAACTTTTATGCCTTTTATATCAATGTTTGATATGTGATATTGGAGTCACAGCTGGAACTATTCTTGTGCCCTTGTTGTTTCAAAATGCCAGGTTGCTTTTATCCTTTTTCAAAGCAAACCAGTAGTTTTCAGGTAGTAGACAAAGCTGCATCCTTGACTTCTCAGTGACTTAAGCAATCTGTCAAGATGCGATTTTTGGGATAGACATGGCAATGGCATCTTAAAGTGAGGTTTGAAATGAGATTACATTGCCTATATTTTATTTGTTAGTAACTTATATTTGGATGCTACTTTTTCTTTCTTCAGGTTAGTCTAGAGCATGAAGAACAAAAGCTGGAACTCAAAAGGCAGTTGACAGAATTGCAGCTGACACTCCAGGAGCGGGAATCTCAAGTTACCGGGCTGCAGGCTGCACGGACAGCCCTGGAGAATCAGCTCCGCGAAGCCAAAACTGAACTAGAGGAGACGACAGCTGAGGCAGAGGAAGAGATTCAAGCTCTCACGGTGAGCCCTAAAATTTGTACTGTGAGCTATATATACAGATTAGTATTATGTAGGTTTATGTTTCTTAAAGAGGTTAAAATGAGTTTATACTATTTTATTTTTAGTTTTCAGAACTAGATATGAATTGTGCCTTGTGTTGGTAGAGGCAGGAATGGCTAAAATGTCAAATTTTGTCTGTCTTATTATCTTTAACCGTATGAATGCTTCCTAGTAGTGGTTCATTGCTGCCAAAACTGATTGATTGTTTGTAAGAGTATTAGTACTTTTGTGACGGGGTGAAAGTTGCATATGAAATTCTTATTGTTATCAGCTTTAATCTGTAATTTAATTATGCAAATATCTCATCAGTTTGAAAGTACTTGATGAGCATAAAATTTTTGATGATTTTTTTTTTTTTCGTATCAGTTACCCTGCTTTGAGGATCCTTATTTGGGGAAAAAAGCCCCAAATTCCTAGGGAAATAGTGTTGTTAGCACATAATTTTATTCCAATGCTTATTTCATTAAAAATTGTCACATGTGTCTTGCAGTCTCTGGTGAGGTGTGTGAATGATATAAACGAAAGAAAAAGCTCAATTCCGCCCCCACCCCC